TAAGGCTCTTTTCAACCTGCTGCGCCTCATACCAATAGGGAAGATTCTCCAATTCATCATGGACCAACGGTTCTGTCGTAGCCCCAGAATCCGAGATATTGTTTCGGCCGTCGAGTTCGACACCACCAGGAGGCTGAGGCCGGTTATTTGAGGTCATGTCAACAGACAGCCGCTCGGGCGGGACGTTGAGGGAGGCTGCAGTCTTAGATGAGAAATAGAAATAGAAGGCCGCATTATGAGAAGCAAAACAGACAATAAAGAGGGGGAGATCGTTAAACCCGTACTGGAGGTATTGGTTTGAAACGGCGCCTTTTGGAGAAAGTCACCCAACATCTCGCAATAAGCTGGAAGAGTGGATTGTTGCGCACCGGACGGCAAAAGTTGACTGGGTAGTGGCGGAGGGCCCTCGGTTCCTTGTCTATCCATGCTAAGGATGTGCAGAGATGCAGAGGAGGAAGAGAATATTTGAAGCAAGATGGGCGAATATTTGAAGCAGGAAAAAGATTTGGAGAAGGGCGAAGGCTGAATTCAAATGAGACCTTTTATAGCCCTTTATACCTCAACCCCATGTTGGCTGGACTGGCTGCACTGTCAGCAATCCCTTCCACCTGGTCCATAATTCCTGAAGGGAACGCCAGGGCGAGCTGGCCCGATACCCATCTCGCTGCGCCCTCTCGCAAAAAAGAGCACAGGGGTGAAGTCATGCATGCTTCTGCACTGGCTCAGGCGCAGATGATTGGCTGCGGGTGTAGTTCCGTCTTCCCAATACATGCCAGCCCCATGTCCCTCGCCTTATCGACTGGAGGAGAGGATCGAACAGTTTGCCGGTTGGCTGAACTTCCTGGCGTATCAGGAGGGTCGGGGGGGAGAGCGGAATCCTTTTCAACTGGTCGATGTTGGCTGGATGAGATATATATATCTTGATCTGGCGTTGGAGAAGCCGGCATGAATGATAGGGCCAGAGGATGAGCTGCATTTAGATTTTCCTTCATTTTGCTTTCGTGGATAAAGCCCCTATGGGGTTGCCAAACCGCACTCGTGGGGTGGTGTATCACAAAATGACAAGCCTCGATGCAGGTCGCGCCTCGGATATTGCTTCATGGCTTTGCCTCTGTGCTCCATGGATGTCTCGACTCTAAGCGAAAACACCAACAAGCGCACTTCTTGACTGGCACACATGGTTGGTTAAGTTCGGCCGTCCTCGTGCATGCCACCCCCATGTTCCTTGTCCCCGGGTTTAGCGGCTTGTCGATTCGAGCCAGGGGGAAAAGGGGGGCTGAATAGGTTGACTGGCTGATATTCGCTGAACGAAAGCCCATGTTGGCATGGGGGGGGGGGGGGGGTACTTTTCGCGAAGTTACCTCGGGGGCACCGGGCAATACAGGCGCTCAACTCCGGCACTGCGAAGGAAGTGCGTTTATCATGAAAAACCGCAAGGTCATCGTGGTGAATATCGATGGTCGAGTGGCAATCGACGCGGCCTTCTTCCGTGAAATGGAACCCAACTATAGCCGACCCCGGATCTATGAGAGCTGGGAAAATCTGTTAGCTTACAGTATCATTTCCGTTGGTTCGGAGCAGCATCGAAAAGAGCTGGATAGAATGAAGAGCAATGGATTGGAAACAAGGAAAATGACCGATGATGATTCACTGATCTGCTGTCCCACAGTTCGCTGCTTCAGCTTCGAGAAAACATGTTTCTGTAGTTCTGAACTCCACCATGTGGAAAGGTTGTTTGATTCCTTGACATCCTCCGAGTGGGATGGTGCAGTGGGCCGACCTATCTGAGGTCCCGTGGTCTGAAAATGTCCTTCGCACCATCTGCGCGACCCCGGAAGATACCAAACGCATTCCTTCTCTTTTCTGGCAACCTTCCG